TTCTCTCTCTCTCTCTCTTCTGTGTGTGTGTGTGTGTGTGTGTGTGTGTGTGTGTGTGTGTGTGTGTGTGTAGCGCTCTGCGTGCAGTGTCTCTCAGGACAGTCGCTCACAGATGAAGGTACAGCAGCTCGCGCTGTCGTTCTGGCTCGGGATGGACGTTTCAAGTCATTTTCTAGTCGAGTACTTGAGTCAAAAAAATCAGTTCAAAATGACTTGTGAATGCCACATTTAGTTGGTTAACACTTTAAAAATAGGCTGTTTCAACATCTTAACCTGGTAACAGCAGTGCAGAAACAGCTAAATGTACTTTCCTCCTTAAACGCGGATCTGCATCTGCCCTTTTTACTAGTCGTGTTAGTTGTGGAGCGAGTACTCGACTAGTCGGTTACTTGTGCACATCCCTGATTCTGCCTGATGATCGTCATGTGATTGTGATCTGGTTCATGCTGGCGTCTGTCAGGAGTCCATCATTCCACTCGTGTGAACCGAACACCGGTTGAGATCTTTCACATGTCACTTTGTCTTCACTAACTCCAGACGCAGCGCAAGACTTTCGCTCGTGAAAGTTGGGCTTGTTTTCTGTCGCAGCATGATGAACCGTTCTTTCGTTCTCTTCTGTTGTAGTTTCTCATGCGTGTGTGTCTCGCAGGCGGAGGAGCGTCACGGGAACGTGGAGGAGCGTCTCAGACAGATGGAGGCTCAGCTGGAGGAGAAGAACCAGGAGCTGCTCAGGGTGAGTGATCTTCAGACATCAGACTCACTCGCAGTGTAGTACGAACACAACAGCTGCTTTATTCTGATATGATGTTTTAAGGCCCGTCAGCGAGAGAAGATGAACGAAGAGCACAACAAACGTCTGTCGGAGACGGTGGACAAACTGCTGTCTGAATCCAACGAGAGGCTGCAGCTGCACCTGAAGGAGCGCATGTCTGCGCTGGAGGACAAGGTGCGACTCAACATCACTAGTGCTCAACCCGAATACAGTCAAGGCCGATGTATCAGCTGCCATTTTTTAATTCTCACTAAACACTGACCGCTGATCGGAGTTGATCCACGATCCGTACGCCCCACGGTTCGGCACTCATGTGATCCGCCGATTAATTGAAAAATGTGACCACAATAGAGTGAAAGTTTATCATTTGTAGCTGATTACACACTCAAGCGATTTTAAACCATTCCAGCGCGAGAAGAGGTGGCAGAGAACTGGGCCCGTATTCTTAAAGATTCTAAGAATCCTCTCGGAGAGCTCCTAATTTAGCTTAAACGCTTCTATGTAGGAGTCTTCGCTTCAGAGCGATTCAGGACCAATCTGAGAGCATTGAAATATTTATTACATTGAAATATTTTTTTTTTCTTGCTGATCCGTGACTCAAAAACCGTAATATGATCCGAACCGTGAGTTTTGTGATCCGTTGAACCACTAGTTCTCCATCTTCATTAGAGTCATTAATAAGTGCTCTGTTAGTTACAGCGATCACTTCCTTTTTATTCATATTTTAACTCTATATCAGTCGACCTCTACACGCAACGGTTTGACTCCGTTTGTCTCGTGTGTGTGTGTGTGTGTGTGTGTGTGTGTGACGCAGAACGCTCTGATCCGGGATCTGGAGCACACCAAGAAGCTGATAGAAGAGGCTCATCATGAGAAGGTCAGTGTGTGCCGCCCATCCGCTCGTGATCCGCTGTGATTTCTGTTTGCTCACGAGTGTTGACCTGTGACCTCAGGAGCAGCTGCTCATCCAGATCGAGAGCATGAGGGCCGAACACGAGCGCGGCCGCAGCAGGAGCAACTCTCTGCTGCATCATGGGTAACTCCAGGACTCTAATGAGAATCCGCCTGCTCGTTCTGCTCTGTGCGGTGCACTGATGTTGGCTTTATTTCCGCAGGCGCTCTCACGCGAGCGGCACGCCGGACTTCAGGTACCCGGTGTCGGTGTCGTCAGCAATGGACAGTCACTACAGCGGCGCGCTGGTGCTCAGACGACCGCAGAAGGGCCGCGTGTCTGCGCTGCGAGACGAGCCCTTAAAGGTGAACATCACCCACAAAACACACGCTTCTGTACCTTGAGCATCTAAAATATTAGCCCCATTGAGACAGACAAATACATCTGCAGTGATGAAACCCGCTCAGATTTATTCTCTGTGGAGCGGTGCGTTCTGTGATTCTCATGAGTTCAGACACATATAAACATAATGGACTTGGAATACTAATACATTCATAGCAGTGATATTTTAGTATCTCTGAGATACTGTTCTAGTTTTGATTAATATGTTGAATCAATTCTTTATTTTTATATTTTCCCTTTCCACTTTAATTTAAGTTGGCAGCGCAATGACTTTTTTTGTCATTTTTAGTATTTTTTTTATTTTTTTATAGTTATTAGTACATCAAATGAAACTAAATTAAAATGAGAAATGTTGCCTTGCTGATTTTTTTATTTTAATTGATTTATTTTATTCAAGTAATACCTTTTATGGTTTTAGTTTTAGTTTCAGTTTTAGTTAACTACAATAACCGTGATTCATATTTTATTTAATAATAATAATAGCCTACTTATTTATATCCTGTTTGATAACAGGAAAATTGATGGGCTATGTCTTGTTTTTTATCAGTCAAAATAATGGATGTCATTTTAAAATTGTGGAAATCAGCAGAAATAAGTTATTTGGTCGACTGCTAGTGTTTCGTGTTGTAAGCGTGTGCTGTGTGTCGTACCGTCAGGTGCAGACGCTGGACGAGCAGGAGTGGGACCGGCTGCAGCAGGCTAATGTTCTGGCTAGCGTGGCTCACGCGTTTGAGAGCGACATGGACGTGTCAGACATGGAGGATGACAGAGAGACGGTCTTCAGCTCCATGGACCTCACGCTGGACGAGCAGGAGTGGGACCGGCTGCAGCAGGCTAATGTTCTGGCTAGCGTGGCTCACGCATTTGAGAGCGACATGGACGTGTCAGACGTGGAGGACGACAGAGATACGGTCTTCAGCTCCATGGACCTCCTGTCTCCTGCTGGACAGGCAGACGCTCAGACGCTCGCCCTGATGCTGCAGGAGCAGCTGGATGCCATCAACAACGAGATACGGTAACGCACTTCCCACAATCCCTCACTCCTCTCACTGACTGCCTGGGCTGTGTTTGGAATCGTACTAACTAGGACTCACTCACTCACTCACTCACTCACTCACTCACACACTCACACAGACACACAGACACACACACACACAGACACGCAGAGAGAGATGGATGCATGCCACAGGAATGTTGTTAAAGTGAAATTTGACATGCTAGGTTTAAACATTTTTTGTTTGTTTAATGTTTTGAAGTCAATATAACAGATAGCATTTTGTGAAAATAGCATCTCTGATTTAAAGTTTGTTAGCAAAGATGGCTTTAGTCTTGGTAAGTTTGATTCATTTTCCTGTGCACAAATGCATCATGGGTTGAGCGAAAGGCATTTCCAACACTGACACTTACATGTATTCAGAATAAAGACTACAGTGATCGTTTACATGCATGTATCGGCTTATTACAGGGTTTTTGTGTGAACATTCTCCATGTGGACGTACTCTGTAGTGACACTGACTTGCAACCAAATAATCTCTTTATAATCGCATTGATGGCTTAGCCAGATTGAAAAGCCCTTATATAAACATAGATTGAAGTCAAATGAGGTCAGATTGAAACAGCTGATGTAGACCTGAAATAATCTGAACAACAAGAAAAAATTAAGCATGTTAACATTTGAATATCTGATTCAAAAGTACCTTGTGGCGTGTGCCTATGTTTGCCTACAGTTTACGCATAGATTTATGTCTTTGGAATGTGTGCATGTTTATTTATGTCTCACTAACTGGTCTGTGGATGAACCGAATATTTACTAAATGTTCTAAAAAAAAAAAAACAGCTTTTCTGACATGCATGTCATCTTTTTCATTAGATGTCATCAAGGCAAAAACAGCAGTTATACCGGCAGTAGCTCCACTGATGACATCATTATGAGCGTTTTGTTCGCAGTACATAAATGCACATGTGATTGAATATGAGAATCAGTTTGCAGTGTTGAAAATTAGTGCATGTGATTGGCTGCTTGAAACGATTCTTCCTAATTATTGAGATGTCAGAGTCATGAAACGCTGAGATGTCCAGATGCTGTGCACTGATGTGCTGTTTCTTGGATCGGGTGTTGTTGTTGAGGTGAGTGTGTTTGTGTGGCTGCAGGATGATCCAGGAGGAGAAGGAGTGCACCGCGCTGAGAGCCGAGGAGATCGAGAGCCACGTGGGCAGCGGAGATGATCTGGGCAGCCGCTTCCGCTCCATGACGTCCCTCCAGCCCTCCTTCCACAGCTCCTCTCCGCCTGGATCCGGTCACTCCACGCCCCGCCGGCCCTCACACAGCCCCAGCAGAGAGCTGGACCGCATGGGGGTCATGACCCTGGTGAGCCGTGTGCTCCGTGAGCGCGGTGTAGTAATGTGTGTGTGGAGTTATGTGTAGTAATGTGTGTGTGTAGTTATGTGTAGTAATGTGTGTGTGTGTGTGTGTGTGTGTGAAGTGTGTGAAGTGTAGTTGTGTGTGTGTGTGGGGGGGG